CTCTGCTCCCTTCCTGCCCCGCCCCAGCCGCGGCCCCGGCACCTCGCGCACCCGGCGGCGTGGTCTCCGGGGCATGCGCGTCACCGCTCGTCCCACCTCCTTCCCAGCCAATCAGTCCTCCCCTCCGCACCCGGCCTGTCCTCCCTGGGGAAACCTGTGGCCGGAGATGCAGAATCGAGTACAGTGTATGCAATAACCGTGTGAGAGGGCAGCTCCGGGTACAGAAGAAACCAGAAGATGAGGGTGGGGGTGGGTTCCACACCTCAGTCGTATAGCCTAAATCAGCGAGCTGGAAGTAGTCACGTATGTTTGGCACTTTATGACTTACAAATGCTTTTCTATAAATGATCTCATATGGGCCTCAAAACAACCCTGCGAGGCCGGTGTTACGGTCTCCTTTTCATAGAGGAGGAAATTAAAGCGCGGCGAGATGAAGTGACTTGCCTGGGGTCGCAGGCCTGCGGCGGAACCCGGTTCGGACCGATGCGGACCCAGGCCGGACTCCATCGTCCTCCTTCTCAAAAGCCCAGGGCAAGTTGAGGGTGATTTTCTCGATTGGCCCCTCTTGAGATCCACTCGCCCGGAGTTCTCTTTTAGAGTTTCGATGGTGTAGGAAGGGAAAAACAGGGGAAGATAGCTGGAATGAGAGGTGCGGTTTAAGGCAGGACGTTTAGGTTCCGGAAGCCGAGAGAAAGGGGTAGATCCAAAGGGTTACCATGGGATTTCTTCTGCTACAAGGCTGGCTGATATCAGGGAGGAATTTGCATTTTAAAAAGAAAGCCAAAGACAGAAAAGCCTTGGGAGCTACGAAGAACGGCAGAAACCCTTGGCAGACATGTACTTGTGAGCGCCCCCAAGTAAGCCCAGAGGACCAGGCTCCGCGCGCTCCCCGCCTCGCTGTCCAGCGCCGCTCAAATCCCAGCGCTCAGAAACAGCGCTGCGAGCGCACGCCCGGAGCAGACGAGCGACACAAAGACCAAGCGAGGGCGAGTCCGCTGCGTGCGGGCCCTGCTTCACCAGCGCGCTCGCCCCCAGCCTCCTCGGAACACACGGCGCTCGCATCGGTGCCTGCGGGCCTTTCCATTAGCCGCAGCGGCCTCCTCCAGGAGTCTGCAGAGCTCGCGCCCTCTGGTCAAAGGCCTCCTTCCCACTGAGGCCTCCCTAACCCCTTCACTGCGTCTTTCGCTCCCTAGCAGTTCTCAGGGTCTGAGCAGGGCTTCCCATACCTCAGGGCGCCTGCGCGTCACCTGGACATCTCGCTCAACACAGAGGCGCGTTCAGTTGGCCCGGGGTGGGTCCCCAAGTGTCTAATACTTCCCACCTTATGCTGCTGCTGCCTCTCTGCCTGCATCTGTGGAGGACACTTTAAATAGAAAGGATCTAAAATGCTACATTGTTCGTATTTATCTTGTGTTACTTTGTCCTCCCTGCACTGGAAGCTAAGTTCCAGGAGGGCAGGCAGTTGGTCTCTTTTGCTCCCTACCGTGTCCTCAGTACCCGGAACAGGACCTGGCACCCGGTAGGGCACATGGTTATTTATTGAGTGAAAGAAGAAAGGAGTGAATGAAATACAAGCCAAAAAAGAAAGCAGAGGTGATAAGTCTAATGTCATACAAAGTAGAACTCAAGGTGAAAACTGTAAATGGAACAAAAGTTTATTTTGTATTTATAAAAAAGGGAAGAAATAACATTCAAAAAACTTTAGATCTTGAATGGTATGATATCCACTTATTTAAAGTAAACTATCAAAAGAACAAGGAAAATTGCAGATTAGAAACTCTCACTCTCTCTTGGTTACATCTCCGAGGCAAAAGGTGACGTGGAAGACCTGAATAAAGAAATTACCTGGATTTAAGAGCTCTATATTTACCTTTTTATTGTGGTTAAAATATACATAACATAAAATTTAGTATTTTAGCCGTTTTTAAATGTACGGTTCAGTGACATTAAGTACATTCACATTGTTGTGCAACCAACCATCACCACCATCCCTCTCCAGATCTTTATCTTCCCAAACTGAAACTCTGTGCCGGTTAAACAACTCCCCATTCTCCCCGCTCCTCCCAGCCCCAGGCAACTGCCATTCTACTCTCTGTCTCTAGGAATCCCGCTACTCTAGGTACCTCATGTAAGCAGAATCATACAGTATTTGTCCTTGTGTGACTGCCTTATTTTACCCAGCATCATGAGCAAAAAGACTCATCCATGTTGTAGCATGTGTCCGAATTTCTTTCCTTTTTACGGCTTAATATTATTCCATTATATATGTATCACATTTTGTTTATCTATTCATCTGTTGATGGATGCTTGAGTTGTTTCCACATTTTGGCTACTTGTATAATGCTACCATGAACATGAGTGTACAAATATTTGTTTGAGTCCCTTCTTTCACTTCTTCTAGGTATACACCCAGAAGTGGGGTTGCTGGATCATATGAGCCATTCCTTGTTTAACTTTTTCAGGAACCGCCATGCTGTTTTTCACAGCAGCTGTACCATTTTACATTCTCTCTAGCAGTGTACAAGGGTTCCAACTTGCCAACATCCCTGTCTACACTTGTTATTTTCTTTGTTTTTTTAATAATAGCCATCTTATTGGGTGTGAAGTAGTATCTCATTGTGGCTTCGATTTGCATTTCCCTAATGATTAGTGACGCCGAGCATCTTTTCCTGTGCTCGATGGCTATTTGTATATCTTCTCTGTAGAAATGTCTATTCAAGTTCTTTGCCCGTTTTTGAATTGAATTGTTTGTTGTTGCATTGTAGGAGTTTGTTACATATTCTAGATATTAATCCCTTATCAGATATGTGATTTGTAAATATTCTCTCTCATTCTGTAGGTTGCCTTTTCATCTGTTGATAGTGCCCTTTGAAGCACAAAAGTTTTTACTTTTGATGAAATCCAATTTGTCTATTTTTTCTTTTGTTGCTTGTGCTTTTGGTGTCAGATCCAAGAAATCATTGCCAAATCCCATGTCCTGGAGCTTTCTCTCTGTTTTCTTCCGAGAGTTTTATCACTTTAAGAGCTCTGTATCTACCTTTACAGAGAATAGATATTCCTTGTGAAAGCTCAATACATTTCAAAAGTGGAAATTGCCAAGACCACAGTATCTAGCTGCAATGCAATAAAAACTAGTAATTAACGTATGAGTAATTGTGTATTTGAAAGTTGCTAAGAGTGTAGATCTTAAAAGTTCTCATCACAAGGAAAAAAATTTGTGGCTATGTGATGTGTTGGATGTTAACTAGACTTATTATGGTGATCATTTCACAATATAAACATGTATCAAATTATTCTGTTGTACACCTGGAACTAATACAATGTTATATGTCAATTACATCTCAATTTATTTTTATTTTTTATTTTATGTTTTTTTTCCCAAAGATTGGCACCTGGGCTAACAACTATTGCCAATATTTTTTTTTCTGCTTTTATCTCCCCAACCCCCGCCCCCCCAGTTGTGTATCTTAGTTGCACGTCCTTCTAGCTGTGAGATGTGGGATGTGGGACGCCGCCTCAACGTGGCCTGACGAGCAGTGCCATGTCCGCGCCCAGGATCCGAACCCTGGGCCACCACAGTGGAGCATGCGAACTTAACCACTCAGCCACGGAGCCGGCCCCTACATCTCAATTTAAAAAAAGAGATAACAAAAAGCCGCGGAAGCTGAAGCAAGTAATTGGGACTTGATCTCTATAAGGGTTGCTGTACTATCTCTGTATTTCCTGTGGAGTTCAACATAATGCCCTCGCATAGTTGATGTCAATTAATGTAATGTGGGTCAAATAAATAAGTTTCTCCTAAACACACACACACACACATTCAAATAGCCTTCCCACCCACCCCCCACCCCACCATCAAAAAAAACCAAACTAATAATTAATGACAAAAGATTAACCACTTGGAAATGTTAGAACCCTCTCTCTAACTCTTGGGTCAAAGAGAAACTCAAGACTGAAATGATAGATTGTCTGGAAAATAATACTGCGAACATTTACATATGAAAAATAAACTTAAGGAAATCAAAAGGAAGAAATTAGTGAGGCTAAGATAAAAATTAATTATTTAGAAAATAAAAAAATAAGAGTGAACATATACAAAAATAAAGGGGTTTTTTTTTCTGACTTATAAAAATGGATATAAGGGACGGCCCGGAACTGGAGGAGAAGAGCAGGTGGTGCCAAGGAGAAGAGGAAAAGGAACGAAAGCAATACTGTCTTCTCGCCCGCTGCCTCCCACAGCCTGAGGCTGCCCCACTCGGAGTTCAAGTCTGACAGTCCAATCACATACGAGGTTTGTGAACGTGGACAAATGACTCAACCTCTCTGAACTTCAGTGTGGTCATCCGACTAGTGGGGAAGATGCCTACTTTTTAGGAGGGAGGAAGAAATGAGATGCTCATTGGAAAGGACTCCTGATACAGGGCCTGGCACATGGGGATGGTTGTTATTATGTTGTTGTTGTGAGAATAGTAATATTTTGTTTCACCCTGTAGGAGTTCCTAAAGAGGACAACATGAGTGGAAATCCCAGTGCCAAGCCAGGGGCCCTGGTCACCTGTGACAAAGGGAAGAAAGACGTCTAGCAGAGCCGCAAGCCAGCCCAGGCCAGGAGGCCCCTGCTGGCCAAGACACAGCATTGTGTTCCCTCCTCCTCCAACCTCACCCCATGGAGGAATGAGGGCAAAAATGAAGGTCTCACCATCCGTACAGGGAGGGGCCTG